ATACAGAGGCAGAAAGAAATCTCTGCCATCACTGCCCCAGCCCCAGCAAGCAGTCACAAACAGCATCAGGAGTAGCAGTACTGCTCTCAATTGACCAGCAGCAATAGATCCCTTCATGTACAACACTAATAAAACAAAAGTACTGGTTCAGGAGCACAAGCTGCAGCTTCCTAAGAGAGGTCGCACTAAAGCTTCACCACATGCTCCTTTAGCAGGCTGCTCCCATCCCTTGGCACAGCCACTCCTCCTCTCTATGAAGGCACTGTGCACTGCCATGCAGATTACATACACATATAAAATACAATCATTCTTGACAGTTCACTGCCTTACCATCACTGCTTTGAGATGTTATTGACCTAACATCAACTGAGTCTTTCCTTCTGTTCTTGCATTTGTAGGAATTGGATTCTGTGAACACAAAACAGAAACTTTGAAAATGTATCAAGCAAAACCTCTTCAAAGTCTTTTCCATCTAAAATTACAATAATTGAATTATTTTAACAATGCCATGTAAGTGGAAGAAATATTGTAATCTCTGCACACCAGAACTAGGGACTCAGTGTCTATGAACTTAAAGCAACTTGTCTGAAGTCACCTGGAAAGGTGTTTGGCAAGGAAGGTGAGATGCCTTATGGACCAGGACACTTGCTTCAGCTAACTTAAGCTCCCTAAAAGCAGCTGCCTTGCAGGCTGTCATGGTCTAAGGGAGTTGTCAGAGATCCTGCTGAGGAGGGATGCTGCTGAGGAGGGATGCCTCAGGCAGGTGGGCTGAACCCCTCCTGCAAGTGTCTTTTGCTCTCCACCGACCACTGAATAGGCCTGAGTTTACCATCTAAAATTTTAGCCAAGCGACACAAATCCCACCTCAGTTTATACTCTTCCAGCCCAAGCACAATTCAGACTCAGACAGCTTTTGCTTTTATTTGCAGGCATATTTTGTACCCTGTGTTTAAGAAAAATCCAACATGCTGAGAATGACTATAAACAATCAATTTGCATGCTGTGAAAATGAACCACGCAACAAGCTGTTACCCTCAAAACTGGTGTTTGCTAGAGCCAGAGAAATTATCACATCCAGACAAATGTAAAAGCTGGATGAAATGCCAGGAAAGAGCCTCAAATAAAACCCTAGATCTGGTCAGATTTCATTTTCCTCCAAAACATTACAGTCTGCACTCTTCCTTATGTTTATGTCCATGGGTCTGTTCACCCCTTTGCAAGACTCTCGATAGTAGCTTTTCCCAGAGTACCTGAAATGCCACTCGAAGATAAGAGACCTCAACAAGCTTTTAAGAGAAGATAAAAACCAACTGAAGAATCAGAAATACCATAACACTGATGTTCTTAACATAAAGACCAATTTTCATGACCATGATCATTGTCTTCAGCAAAATAAAATATTAACATACAGTTCTTCAGAATTAAAAATTTACCCATCTTAAAGTTACTGAGATACAGTTTCTGTCTTAATTCTCTTTTTTAACTACAGATTTATAGAACAGTTTGGGTCTTCCGATGTTGTTGTAGTCCAGACTGGAGAAGATGAAAATATTTTCCTCTATTGACACCTAAGACTGGTGCATAACTAATGCATGTTAAATCACTTTGTTTATTTATCTGCTACTACTCCTCTTACAAACCCCAATACTGCATTCACATTTGGATGAGTTTATCATAAGGCACTTGTGTGGGAGCCAAGATTTACACATAAACATAGCTGTGAGTGCCCATAGGCGACAAGACAACTCTCCTTGCGCTAAATACTAATCAGTGAGTCAGAAACTTTGCTAGTTCCACCCAGACAATCAGAGGTGTATAAAAGCTACACATTTAAATACATATTTAAAATCCCTAAATAAAAAAATTCTTTTCACCTGGTGAGCAGAATATCTCACCACCCAGGTCTATTACACGTCACACCACTGCAAACAGCACAATGCACATGGATTACTTTTCTCTGTTCATCACGTACTGGGATATGCCCATGGCTCTGGAACTTTATTCTTGGAGAACAGACATGCATTGCAGAGAAGGATAACCTACAGCACATGCTCTAAAGGTGCCTGCTTTCACTGCACCATAGACATCAACATGGTGCCATGGGATGGGCCTTTCTTGCTGAAATCTGTCATGATAATGAACAAACCTAAAACATTATTATGCTAGCAAAGATGTGTTAACTAGTGACAAGTGTCCTTCAGCTTAATTCATGGGCTTTCTTGCCTTTCTAACCTGTTTGTGGGAAAGAAATCTGCTTTTATTACAGGGACACAGGAATATGGAGTTTACCACGGCAGTGTGAAAACAGCTCCAACCCTGGCAGTGTACAAAGCCAGGTTAGATGAAGCCTTGAGCAACCTGGTCTGGTGGGAAGTGTCCCTGCCCAGGGCAGGGGATTAGGACTAGATGGTCTTCGAGGTCCATTCCAACCCCTTAACAATCTATGAATCTATGAACATACTGTGGCTCAGTTCTGAGGGCAACAATGGTAATGAGAGCAGCCAATTGAATATTGTCTCTTCCCCCCCTGCCCATTGTTATTTGGCATCACAAAGCTGTTCAATGTTTGCACCTCATTCTTAGGCTGCTTGAAAAAGCAGGAGATGTCAGGCAGTCACATCCCATGCACTTGATGTGTTATATCCTCCTCCCATATGATAATCAGATGCTGCCTAACATTGCACCACAACATTATCCACCTTTCATTAAAGAAAGGGTCTCAGGTGCCACAAGGCAACACAGCACAAGAACCTATTTGCTCATAATAAGACAGCAGTGCAGCATCTGGCTAAGATCATAGAATCATAAAGGTTGGACGAGACCTTTGAGATCATCCAGTCCAACCATCCACCAGCACTACCACTGTAAATCCTAACCTCTAAACCATATCACCCACCACCAGATCCAGACGTCTCTTAAACACCTCCAGGGGTGGTGACTCCACCACCTCCCTGGGCAATCTATTCCAGTGCCTGAACAACCTGACAGTGAAAATTTTTTTCTAACATCTAATCTGACTCTCCCCTGCCCCAGCTCAAGGCCATTCCCTCTAGTCCTCTCCCTGCAGCCATGGCAGAACAGACATCCCCCACCTCTCTCCATGCCCTGTCAGGGTGTTGTAGAGGAAAATGAGATTATCCCTGAGCCTCTTCTCAAGGCTAAACAAATACAATTCCCTCAGCCCTTCTTCATGTGCTCAAGGCCTTCCCTGCCCTTGTTGCCCTTGGCTGGACTCACTCCAGTGCATCAATATCATTTTCAAGTGAGGGCCCCAAAGCTGAGAACAACACTGAGCTGTGACTTCCCCAGTGCCAAGTCCAGGGGGATGAGCACTGCCCTAGTCCTGCTGCCACACTGGTCTTGATACAGGCCAATATGGCATTGGCCTTCTTGGTCACTAGAGTCACTAGATCACTGAGTCACAAGCTTAAAACTGGCCTTTAGTGCCTTCTTGTCTGGGTAAAAGTGTTACTCCAAACTACACAGCACTGGAGGAAAGGATTACCTCACTATGCTCCACACTGGCAGTCATACTAACTGCAGAAGTCATTGAGGGCTGGGATGTGCTGTCTGTGCCTAAGCAAACCCCCACAAGACACAGGGCAAGGGTTGTGCAGACATGCTCCACTCAGTGCTGACAGGAACTGACTAGCTCAGACCTGGACACCACAGATAACCATCTCAGCCCTGTGCTAGGGCCAGAACAATAGGCTACTGACAGGTCCTAAACTTGGACATGCATGGGCAGGTGTACTGGCACAAATCACAGAATCAACCAGGTTGGAAAAGACCTCCAAGATCATCGAGTCCAATCCTATCATGGTTACTAGACCATGGCACTAAGTGCCACATCCAGTCTCATCTTGAAAACCTCCAGGGATGGTGAATCCACCACCTCCTTGGGCAGCACATTCCATTGCCTGATCACTCTCTCGGTAAAAAAATCTCTTCCTAATATCCAACCTAAACCTCCCCTGGCAGAGCTTGAGTCTGTGCCCTCTTGTCCTCCTGCTGGTTGCCTGGCAGAAGAGACCAACCCCCACCTGACTACAACCTCCTGTCAGGGAGTTGCAGAGGGTGATAAGGTCTCCCCTGAGCCTCCTCTTCTTCAGGCTAAACCCCAGCTCCCTCAGTCTCTCCTCATAGCATTTGTGCTCGAGTCCCTTCACCAGACTCATTGCTCTTCTCCTTCTCACTACAGTCCATGTTTCAAACACAAAGAGGTGCCAAGGTGCTGCAGGATCAGACACTGTTGTAATACAAGGAAGAGCAATGCATCTTAACTTCAATGCACAGCAAGAGCTCTGCACAGGAGATTGAATTATGAATGATGTTATAAATGATGATTACAAATCAAATTTGTGGTGTGACATCAGAGGCAGATGGAATGTGTCATTGGCCATCAGCTCTGACCACTGACTTGGCAGAAGAAAGAGACAAAATTCATACCACCAAAGAACCCCACCATGACCTCCAGCACAGCTGCAGATAGAGGGAAATGACAGTAGTCTAACCTGATTGAGAATTATCCCCTGTGTACTTCTCCTCGCGATGACTCTTGTAGAGCTGAAGATGCACAAAGAGTAAAACATGTATGTAAGGAAAAAGAATACAAAAAGACTTTAAACAGACTTTAAATATTCAACAACGTCCTTATCCATGATTTCCATTCAGGTATTTAAAAAAAAGTGTTTGGCAAAGGCTCTTCTTTAGGTGTAATTAGATGCAGAGAAATAATACGAGAGTAAACAGACACGTCACACAGAAAATCACAGATACAATAGAGCTTTTATCTATTAACTTCCTGTTTAATGCCTGTGTTTGTAAGAGAACTGTCGTTCATTTTAGATAGTGTTTTAAGTGCAAACTGTATATGAACCTGAAAGAATAAAAAGCAAAAACTAAAAAAAAAAACAAACCCAACATAAAACGCTAATTTTTGTTCTTTCAAAAACATTTTCTTAGAATTATCTAAGTTAATTTTACATGCATCCTTTTGTGGGCCACTGATAAACTGGATTTCAACAGAACTCATTTATGAAAACAACTTTCCAGCAAATGAAGGGCAGACAGTGTCATTTATCAGAATTTTACTTCCAAGTAAATTTTAAGCATCCTCATTGTGCTGGTTTGGGCTGAAGTAGAGTTAACTTTCTCCCCAGGGGCTAGTATGGGGCTATGATTAGGATTTGTGCAGGGCACAGAATTGATAATGCAGAGATGTTTTTGTTATTGCTGAGCACATTTTGCACAGAGCCAAGGACTTTACCACTTTCCATACTGCCACATTGGCAAGGAAGTTGGGGATGCATGGGAGATTGGGAGGAGACACAGCTGGGACAGGTGACCCAAACGGACCAAAGGGATATTCCATACCATATGACATCATGCTCAGTATATGAAGTGGGAGGAAGAAGGAGGAAGGGGGGACATCTGGAGTGATAGTGTTTGTCTTCCCAAAGAACCATTACACATGATGGGCCCTGCTCTCCTGGAGGTGCCAAACACTTCTTGCCCATGGGAAGCAGTGAATTAATTCCTTGTTTTGCTTTGCCTGTGTGTGTGGCTTTTGCTTTTTCTATTAAACTGTCTTTATCTCAACCCATGAGTTTTTCTAGCTTTTACCCTTCTGATTCTCTCCCCCATCCTATTGGTGGGCGAGTGAGTGAGCGGCT